AATGAAACGTACATGACGTTGATAATCCATAATGACGCGATGCGGTTAATAGTCAATATAGAGATTATCTCGATTCTAGCGGACGATCATCATTTCTATATGCTAATCTCACAATTAACATTAATTCTATTATAATTTATTATACTAATTATTATATATATATTTTTTAATTTTTCTATTTATAAAAAGAACTTATAAATAACACTACCAATAAAATAGTGTAAAGGAGCGTCGTCCCTGATGCGAATAACGGTTAGACTTTTCGGCGCCTCATTGAAAAGCATTAACACAACTCCAATTGGAGGTGAACGACCGTCAAGAGCCAAATTAAATACAAACATACTGTGTTAAGAATATCAATAGGTTTTTACCGCGACATTAAACCGGAAACACGATCAAAATCGTCTGGTCAAAAAGAAGGTAAATATTCAAAAGAATAAAGGGAGGGGAGGAGGAAAGAAAGCGTACTTTAAACTCGTGACGTTGAGACTTGTTTACGTCAAGATTGTAAGGAAGTGAGGTTAACCGGCCGGCAAACTAGCAAACTATCTTTGGATCCATACGAAAAGCAGATGTGTATGTGTGTGTGGATCTTACTCAATCGATCCGAGGCAGTCTGTATAAATTCGAACAAGCCCAGGTGTATTTCCGAGGAGACAACCATAGATAGTGATTCGGTTTCGCCGAATCTTTCGCCAAAAATGACTCAGAAACATTCCAAAACAAAAACAAATCTTCAAGGGCAAATTTTTGTTTTCTGATTTTAGTTCTACAAGAAGTTTGCAGCTAATTCAGATGGCTAGAGGAAACAGCGAAATATGTTGTATACATTATCAAAAAATTCTATTTGTAATAAAATCGTTAATTCAAAACTAGAAATGTAGGAGGAGAAGAGTTTCTTTTTGATCCTCCTAATTTGTGATGATTTTCAACTTAGAAGGGCGATCTGTCTAGCTGGTCAGTTAAATCTATCAAACTGAACCGACCATTTTGGTCTGACTAAACAGTCGATATGCACAAATCTGATTAGTTGTACGCAACCTGATTAACTATGGACAACCAATAAGATTTGTGCATTTCGACTGTTTAGTCAGACCAAAATGGACGATTCTGTTTGGTAGATTTAACCGTCCATTTTGACTGACTGAACTAGTCGAAATGGACGGTTCTTTAGATTTAACTGACCGGATGTAAGATCGCCCTTCTGAGTTGAAAATCATCACAAATTAGGAGGATCAAAACTTTCGCCTATTAGAAAAATAATTTATTTTTTCATCACAACTGCTCGCTTTTGTACTGCTTTCCTAATTTGCATAGAAATCCAGGGAACTTTCTCATGGCGTTTTTCTATATACATGCAGAAAGTATTGTATGTAAGGTGATAGTCTTTTGGGCAAAAGTCACTTTGCCAAGTGTTCTATTGTGAGTTTAGTTACGAGAGAAATCGTGGCAAGAATCCACGTGGAGTTTAGCTACTGTTTGCCGGTAATGCATACACCGGTAGTTATACATATAGTCAACAGTATATGGAAGGCTTGCGATATTATGAATCTAGCCGCGCCCACGTATAGCGGGACCGAGGCCGTGTATTTTTCTCTCTCTTTCTATCTAATATCCCCTTTTATCCCTCTCTTTCTCTCTCTCTCTATGGCCTCAAGAGAGCTACGCCTCACCGAATGTAATGCCAACAATCCCTTATAGTCAAGAAATTTTCGTGTTTCACCGGCTCACGACTTTCAACGATGACCTCAAAAGAAAAAAAAAGAAAAAACAACAACAATCGAACGATTCTATTTCACCATCACCTTCATCGAGAATCACGAAGAAGAAAATCTTCTCTATAGGCGCGTCGTAATTTCCTATATAGCGGTTTACCAATGGATGGATGCTCGAATAAAATTAATAGAACCCGGTACTCGAAGAGAGTACCGTACAGATTCTATCACGACCTTTTCAACAATCCTGTTCCTAATATTGATTATTCAAGATTCCGATCTTATAAACGTTGTAAATCAAAACAAATTCTCTAATTGATAACTTCAAATTATATTTAACAATGCAACATCAAAAAATGAGATAAGAACTTTAAAAAATGTTTCCCTGAATTTCGTGGAATATAATTTCTCTTTTTTTTTGTTTGCTAGTTTATAATAAAATGTACACGCAACTGTTTCTTGCGCGCTCAATTAAAATCCCTATGATGCAAGTCCAAATTGAAACTCGTCGTTATAAACGACGTCATACAAATATAGGACGGAGCTGAAATTCCAGTCAATGATGATCGGGACATCTCTCTCTTTCTCTCTCTCTTGCTTTTTCTCCTCCAAAGTAAAATGATGGTAAATGCAGATAAATTCCATCTCTCTTTCCTATTCCAGCGAGGTTTCATATATATGTATAAAAAGAAGAGGGAGACGAGGCATGCTCATGCGCATTGTGAAAATGGGCCATCCACACGACGATACACTTTTGAAAACGAGGTCACGAAAATTAAATTTTGAGATTAACGTCAAGTGTAAACGCGTGAATCTAATTTTTTTTTTTTTTAAATAAAATTCGACTCTAATGATTCCTTTTTTAAAATAGTTTCCTTCCAATGGAATTTTAAAGACAAAATTTCCTCATCAACAAAATACACAGAAAAAAATTAATCTACAGAATGGTTACTGAAAAAATTTGATACAGCAACTAAATTGTTTGCTAGAGCTGCTAAAAATTTAGCTGTGAAATCAAATTCATTTCATTCAAATACTCGATTAATTTCAAATAAATATTTACTTGAACCAAATAATTTTTATTTGAATTAAATACATTGTATTTGAACCAATAATTTCTGTATTTGAAATAAATACCATTTAATTGATTCAAGTAATTATTATTTGATACGAATAATTATTTATTTGATAATCAAGTAATCGAGTATTTGAATCAAATAATTTTTTTTTCAATTGGAACAATTTAAATTTTTCTCTTTAATTTTCCCTAAATTGAAATATTGACCTTGATGACAAAAAATACATAATTTCCAATCAGAAATTCCCTATATGGGAAAAAAGAATCATTTCCTGGTTTTGAATTGTTTTTTTTTTGTTACACTGTAACTTTCCCGATGAACTGACATTAACTCTCTTTACTGTCCGAGTTACGATAAGGTTTATTGATGCTGTAACGAACGAGTCTCGACGAATAAATCGAGCATTAGTCGGACATTGACAGCGCACACTAGAGCAACAAGATATAGTTTAACTGTGAGCCTGGTTTTCTTTGTTAAATATATTGCCTGGCGACTACTACCTTTCCGAGAGAGAGAGAGAGTAAGAGAGAGATAATACACGAGCCTTGACTCACTCGCCAACTTAGTGTCAATTACTAAAGCAAACAAGAAAAAGAAAAAATATTACCAAACTTGCGCTTGACAATAATGAAATTACTTTGATAAATCTTTCTTCATGACGTGTTATCGATTTCTTAACAAACTACAAATTTACATAGGGCTTTGAAATTTAATGATACAGATAGCAGTTCACAAAAGAAATGTTTGACAAAAAAGAATTTATAATCGTGTTTCAACATTTTTACATTAAAAAAACATTTAATTTAAATTAAAATAAATTAAATATTAAAACTTATGTTTGAATCAAAATTCAAAATATTAAAAAATAGATTATGTAGTTAAAAAAATGTATTTTCAATTGAAATTTCAAAAATTCAATTGAAAAAGTAAGGTTATGTTATAATTGAAAAATCATTAGATTTACAAACAATAATAACTTACTTTTTCTGAAAACTAATTTGTTGAGAACAAAAACCGCATGGAAAGAAATATTTTTCACAAATGTAAATATTAACACTACTTTCAACACTTTTACATAAACAAATTTTTAAATTCATTTTCATTTCACACACACACTGTCTACTTTCTCAAAGAATTTTTGGGGAAAAGTTATATTTGGAAAAATTCGTTATCTTCAGCGTTAGAATTTACCGACGGAGAAAGAAACACAAGTGCTTTAAATCGAATGTTACACACGACAATCGCAACATCGATATAATCGAAATTTATGGCGCCTTAATTTAAAAATTAAAATTAGAAACAATAATTGGAATTTTAAATAATTACTTATTATCACAATTTAAAAAAAAAATAACCTTCTTGAAATTTCTCAAACATAATAATCATGAAATCGTAGCAAGAAATAAAATTTTTTCACAAAATATAGATAGTGAAAAAGCTAGAAAAGGCTAGAAACATGACGCCACAATAAAAATACACATTTATAAAATATAATTAGGCTAAAATTTATATAAAAATTAAAGTTCATTATAATTTATACCCGATTGTTAACAATTACAGTAGTGAATTTGCACCAAAAAAAAAGAGAAACAAACAAACAATGAAAATTCGTGGAATCACAAAATGACGCCGGTTTCACTTGCAACGTGGCTACACAACAATAGAATTCAAAAAACAATATTATTTACCAAGAAATAATGTAATTTTTCAATTAAAAAGTTGATTAAACATTGATTTCCGAATTTCACTATTGTAATTGTAAACATTTACATATAAATTCAGAATAAAAAACATAATATTATTCCTAACCTCAATTTTTCAATTTTGTTTCTTTTTTTCTATTCTTTTTCCATGGTATAAAGATTTATGTACTGCAATTCTGTTAATCTCACATATTGACCAAAACACTTTTAACAATTTTCCCGAGCACTTTTTAATTTACTTTTTTCACTAAAAAATTTTGAAAGCGTCTTTCCGGTAAATGAAAACGTGCTCGCGTCCATGCGGCAAACAAGCAAATCAACATCAAATTAGTTTTAACCTCAGAAATTGACTTTAACTTTTTTTGATTACGAATTTATCCAAAAATAATTTCTCATTTTTCACCAAAATTATAACTTTCTTTTACAAAAAAAATAAAAATATACCGGCTTCCGGTGTTTGTTCTCGAGTAAACATAACCTTAAAAAGTATTTGTATCTCTTACCTCATGTCCCGTCGGAGCAATGAGAATGTGAACCTCGTCCGTGTCGAAATTATGTTCCGTAACCTCGGCTTGAATTTCTCGTCCGTTATATGTTAAAAAGACCTTCTGTCCACGAACAAGTTTTGTTTTTGTAATTGTACTAAAGCCGGGTCCAATAATTTCACGTTCAGAATATTCTTTCATAGGACGATTCTCCTGTCCTAAAATTGGATCGAATTTCACAATAAAACGCGTTTTCGATGTAAGACTAAGTCCAGCTTCATAAGCACTAGAAGATGGCGATTTCACTGCATATACAAATCCACTGTAGTACATTCCATCTTCGCCGGGTGCACACACCTTTGTCCCAACAATACTACGTTTAGCTAACCTTTTGCCGGTCGACATTATCTGCTTAAGAAACTTTTGACAGATTCATTAGATAATTTTTTTTTTTCACCAATTATCACTCACAACTATTGATAATGTCTGATAATTTAGTTTTTTGTTTGTCAATTGTTCGTAAAAACAGCGCAATAATAATCCGGAAACTCCTCGTGTTTGGCGTAAAGTAAGTCTTGACGCCACGATTCGAAAAAACACTCAGCGCATAAACTAAATTTAAAACACGCTTTTTTGTTGTAAAATTATCAACACACACCAAAAAAACACGTCACTAAAAAAATTCAATCGCGTTTAAGAATATATTGAATTGTGCCGTAAACTCCAAAAATTTCGATAACTCTAGGTCATTGTTTTCCAGAAGAGCGTCTGCTGGTGGGACGCGGAGGTTTGCGCGGCAAGCGCAAAACAGCGATATTCGTCACTTCATTATTTTGATAAATAGGAAATAATTTTTTGTCATTTACTTGAAACCCGAGTTTTACTGAGAGCATAATACAAGGAAAAATTTGTTAGGCGCTATTTAAGAGTCGGCCGTAAATTAACGATAGTCACCGGTTGTCGCCGCGTGTGAAATCAGAAAAAGAGTTCCTTACAGCTGGCCGAACCGAGCAGTACTGAGGAGCTGCGCCGGCCGGCTACCCGCCAGCTGATGATAACAACAAACCTCCGATTGGCTCTCCTCTGACCTACTTAATCCCATTGGTTGATCGCGAGAAGGCTTTGTTCGACCTAACTGCGCACTGACGTTATTGCTTTTCTCGCATGGTTTAGAAAAAAAAAAAAACTTTATTGAAAACTTTCATCAATTTTCCGGACAAATATTAATTTTTTCAAATATTAATTAAGAAAAATTGTTTAAAATTTAATGAAATTCACATTTGATTTTGCCGATATATAAAAGACGTTTGTTTTGTCGTCAGCTGGATACGCCGGTGACGAAAGACGAAAAGTTGAAAGTCTTGTTATAGAATCGGGAAAAGATTGAAACAAAGAATGATATCTACCAATAAAATGAATCATAATGCACTTAATTATTAGACTATGTTGATAGTTGTAGTTTTTTTTGTCAAAACGCGTAGCAATATTATACCTTTAACGAAACACTCACTTGACTGCGGCCATTTTATAGTGACGACACCATACACACAATAGTGGATCTGTGAAAAAAAATTGATATTTTGTTCCTTCCCTCATATATATTGAATAAAAATAATTTAATTTTACCGGCCGGCAATTATAAATTCATCAATAAATAATGTTTCTATTACATTTTATCGACTTTTTAAAACCTGACAAATTAGTATCACAAATGATGCAATTTTGAGGTTAGTTATTTCGTTTACACTAGTATACATTTGATTGATTGAAAAAAAATATGATTCAATTTGTTTACTTGATTAATGAACGATTAAAATGAAATAATTTTAATATATAACTTACTTTTATCATACAAATCGAATGTTTTGTTAAATTAAAACAATTAAATACATAAATATGTCAAACAGATTTTTGCATAAACATACTATGATGTATTCTGAAGTTGTTCACGAATCACGTATCGTTCTCCACGGATGGGCAGTTGAGGAAATGACGTCATTGGTTTTTTTTTTAAATATATTCAATTCGTTTAAATAAAAGTAAAACATTATTAATTATTTTGCATAAATATTTTCTTAAAGTATATTTTCTTATAGTTTTTTTTTCTTAAATATGAATTAAAAAATTGTGAATTATATTATTTGGGAATAAATTTTTTTCTCATCTACCCATCCCTGAAATCGCTTTCTAAAAAAATTTGTGGACAACTTCAAAGTTGTTTTGATATACTCGTGTTTAAAAAAAATTATTAATTATAATTTTAATTATTTGTGTTTAATTTTTATAATAGATATAATTATTAAGGACAATTTTTTGTTAATATCGTCTAAAGGAAAAACAGGTAGAAGTATATTAAATTAAAAAAGCATAAAAAAGGGAAATTCTTTTTATGTAAATATGTAAAATTTTGGTGTCATTTTTATTATTATAAAAGAAAAGGGAAAATATTTTTTTTATGATAATTTAACCATGAACAAATTATATGTTTCAGTAGTCTGTGCAATGTGCTGTCTATATCTCAATGCCAAGTATTTTAAAGTTCAAATAGCAAATATACAACATCGCGTGTATATAGGCGTGGGAAAAAGCCTTTGACTCTACAACGAAATACGTTTACATATATGCTATTCTTCATGGAAGCCATAGATATTTTTTTATTTTTTATGGAAAAAAATATACCCGAGGTAAACAAATGTCATAATGTCTAATAAACCCTTTCTCTTCTTCACAGGTTTCCCATATATAATAAGAGCTTTTCGATTATTGTCTTTTCTTGAATCAAAATTTAAATTTCGATTTAGAAAAAAAATTAATTTCCATATATTATTAATTGATTTAGAAATTTTTAGAATATTTTTATGAATAAATAAAGAGAAAGTTAGATATATGATAATTAATTTGAATTGTATAAATAAAATTAGAATTGAATTAAATGCAAATTTCTCAGTTGAGAAAGATAATTATTTTTCTAATAGAATTTTCAATGTATGAACATTTATTCTCAATTATGGATTAATTAAAAATATTTTCTATATTAAGTAAGATTAATTTAATATAAAATGTTATTTTAATATTTCAAAATTATTAAATTGGAAGTAATCAAAATTTATTTGTAAAAAAATATATATTTTTTTAAACATATATATCTTTTAAAAGAACATTTGTCTTATTCATGTGCACTAATCAATACTTCAACATATTATCTATTCCCAAAAGACATACATGGAATACAGGAAATAATTTTTTGTTTTAAAAATTAGTTCTAAATAGAAATTTTCATTTAAAATTTAATTAACCAATAATTTTAATAAATATTTTAAAAAAAGAGCTCTAAACATTTTTTTTTTAAAGGACCCAAGAGAAATCAATATAGAAGTGAAAGGAAATATTGCATATTGTATATTTTAATTTCTCTTTCTTTTTTAAACATTTTCTTTTTTTTCAGTTACAGAAATATATATATATACATATGTCTATACTTTGAAACTCCAAATGTAAAGCTTTTAACGAAATGAATCGATTGACCTATTTAAAAACCCGCTGGGCTGAGTTGGTATATAAATGCGCTAAAGAATTTGAAAAGATTATTTAACTCTGAACGAATGAAATATGTGGCATTTGATGTGAATATATATAACACTTTTTATGAATAATTAAAAAAAAGGAAATTTTCTCTCAACATTTAAATATCGAAAAAAATTACAATAATTAATTAATTTAACGTGCTTGGCTAAAATAGTAGATATTTTTTTAAATGTAAAAAACAATATTTTTTTACGAGAATATTGAAATTATTTTAATTTTTCAGAGAACAATTGATCAAAGATTCCTTTGTTCTTTTTTGATAAAGAGAATCTAAACAATATTTTGTGGATATCAGATTCTATGGATGAAAATTACGACCAAGATTCTATAATACAAAATGAAAGAATAGAGGTAGGGTAGTAGGTTGCAGCAGAGATTGCACTATCCTTCTATCTCTCTCTCTCTCTCTTTCTATTTACCACAATGAGAGATGGACACATCGAAACATTGAGAATATTGCATGGATAATATACACGCCATAGATTTTGTCACGGTCACTGTATGATTTTTCCAGCCGGAAAAGGGTGAGGCGAGAGAGGGAACTCCTAGTAAGAGATGTTGCGCAATTCTCCTCATGAGAGACACCAAGAGAGTACCAAGAAAACCGTTACACTATATGGTAAGATAAAGTTTATTTAATTTTTTTTATTTTATAAGATTGCTAAATCCTCCCTTGCCATTTCACAAATCAAATACAATTTTTCGAATTAATAATTAAAAAAAAGATTCAATAGGAAAAAATAAATTCGTTAATTACAACTATAATTATAAAATATTGCGTAATTCAAAAATAGTTATTAAACTTGAATATTAGGAATTATTTTTTATTATTTAAAAGTAGCTTAAGTATTTAGAAATTTTCTAATTATAAATTAAAAAATAATTGTAGTAATGATAACTGTTAGGAAAAAAAAATCATTATGTTAATTGTTTTTGTGTTAATTGAAATAGATTAGAAAATACATTTTAGATAATTTATTATTAACTATTGTTCATTAAAAGGTATATTTCTTTTTATATCTGATCTTGGGAAAGATAATAATAAGAAATGTTAATTCATTTTTATTGAATGACATTGATGATGGGGGTTGAGGAACGTGATTTCCAGGATGAATCAACGAGGGTGCGATGAAAACGTTTAATGACCCTTTATTTCCTTCTTTGTGATAAATAACTTAAAGTAACAAAGAAGCGAGCTTTCATTCTTTTCCTTTGTATATCGATTTTGTGTCATTTTTCTTCACTCTTACCGAAACGATTCCTTATATTAATACAACACGAGGGAAAAATTATAATAAACGAAAATAATAAATAAATTTAATTAATTCATTAATAATAAATAATTAATTAATAAAATATAACTATTTCTATATTTATTGTTATTTATTTATTTATTTATTTATTGTTATAAAGAAAATTTCTTTTAATAATTTTTGTTTTCTTTGTTGCAGTAGTAATGAGAGAAAAAAATGAAAGTATTATTTTGGAATATTTATATGCGCGCAAATTTAAATTGAGTACAATGAAAAGGGAAAAATGATTCAGGCCATCATCTTTCTCATCGTCAACTATACAAGAATTTCTTTATGGTCCATGTTCAGAAACTGCGTCGTTAAATTGAAACCTTTATCTTGAAAGCGCATAAAGAGAATTGAAAATATATCTCTCTTTCTCTCTCTCACACACAAGATATTTCCCAATGTGAATTAACTTTCTATTTTATGGATCAATTTATTCATGCTATGATAATAGTCCTTGCGACAATATTTAGATGAAATTGGTTATATTTTTTCAAGAGAGAAAAAATTTACTCGACATTTTTTTGTTTGGTAAGTTATAATTCAATACAAGTTTTTCGGTCCGTTTGTTTAATGAGCCGAGAAATTCGTTTTTTTTTCATTGCTAAATAAAATTAAATTATATAGAAGTAAAATTTACTTGCATTAAACTATGAATTACTATTTACTGATAAATTTTTATTAATTTTATTGATTTTATTATTATTCTTTTGAGATCCTTTTAAAAAAAATTATTCTTATGAGATAAAAATCTCTGTTTTATAAAAAAATAATTAGAATATTTGTAATGTACATAATGGATCATCAGATGTTTAAAAAATGAGTTTTTATTTTATGAAGATTGAAATAATTATAAATGTTAGAGGGAGATTTAGTGAGAAGAAAATTACAAGAGTAGTATAATAGTTTCGAAATAGAACTTTTGCATCTTTATGACTCGTAAGTCCATAAAGTGAGGGGCAGTTTACAAGAACTTACCGTCTTTGTTAATGTACTATAATTAGAGAGCATATATGATACGAAACAAGATACGTAACATATATTAACCCATTTTTAGATTCATTTTTTTAATTCTCTTTTTTTTTGGGAAAGTATACATGAAATTCTAGTAATAAATTGCTACTTCGTTTTTGTCGAGAAATATATCCTCGATTTTTTTTTCGTAATTGTAAAAAGTAAGAAATATTTACTAAAAACATTAACTTTTCCAAATATTCTCTTATGAATTTAAATTATTATTATTATATTTTTTTTGTAAGAAAAAAGATTAAATAAGTAAAAAAATTAACTTATTTAAAATTTAAAAAGATAATTTCAGAAATTATTATTATTAAACAAAATTTAAAAAACAAATTAGAGTATTTTTAAATTAAATAAATGAATTTTAAATATTTAAAAATTAAAATGTGGAAAAATTAAAATTTTTTGAATTTTTAAAAGGTGAAATTTTTACAGAATCAATTTTTTATTTTTAATAATTTATTTTATAATTTTTTACTTTATCGACTTTGTGTTTTTTTTTTTGTTAAATATTTTCATTGTGGCGCCATCCATTAGATTAAGTAAGAAACTTTATATTTATAATTTTAAAAAATAATAATTAAATAATTAATTAATTATTAAATAATAATTTTTCAAAACCAATAATTTTTTTAAATTTTTCATTAAGAACTTTTTAAACTCTTTTTTTTAATGTTAATTTTGAATTATTTCAATAATATTTGAATATAAATATATGTATATTATTAATATTTTTTATTAATAATGTAAAAAAGTAAAAAAAAAATTGTGATTTATTTTTTTAACTCAGAGAATTTTAAAAGAAAAATCTTAAAATTATTTTTATTTTTCTTTATTTTTCAATTAATTATTAAAATTAATTACTACATTCAAATTTTTATAAAAAAAAAAAATTTTATCAATTTTATTTTATAGTATAAAAATCTCAATTCTAAATATAGGAAAAATTTGGAGAAACTTTTGAAATTATTAAAGATACTTTTTTGATTTTTCTTTACAGATTTGACCAATATTTGTGGAAATGGAAAAGTCTTTTCTATATTTGCGATATAGCAGGTGGGATAATCGACTTTGCAACAGGCGCCTATAGTTTCAAATTAAAATATGCCTATTGACCTGGGGACGACAACAAGAAAGAGGTAGACGAAAAACTATAGAAATAAAGACATGTCTCGACAGTGAGGTTCGAGATACGATCTGATAAGATTAAATGCGACTATTGGTAATTACAAACAGCCATCTTTGCGTCGTCGTCGTCGTTGTCGACAATTCTATTTTCTTCAATGAAATAACGAAATTACCTTCTCTCTATACACACCACTGTCAGTAGACGATGTAGTCTCTTCAAACGTTGACAATTCTCCTCTTCTCATTTAATAATGTGTTACGTATAGAAACAGAAATTTTTTTCATTTGGCAAATATTATAAATTCAGAAGCAAAAATTTATTTATGTCAAATGTCAAAGACATATAAAAATAATTATGAAACAATTATTGTGGTTTACATTTGTTTTGACAATTTTACAAATTTTTTTCACACACAACATTAATGCTGAATATGGTTGCTCTGTTTTTTGTGTTTGCGATATTTGGTATGACCTTAAACGTGCAACTTGCACCAATCGTCATTTATACAGTATAGAAATTGGCATTTCTTCAGTTGTCGAAGCAATTGATCTGTCAAATAATTCTATTTCTTCATTGTCAAATTATGAATTAGCGGTAAGTTTTTTAATTTTTATTTATTTCAAAAAAATTTTTTTGTTGCCTTTTTTTATATAAATATCAGGTGCTTGACGATTGTGAGATATTTTTAAGCACAGCTTCCATGAGTGGATAAAATTTTTCTGGTCCCTGAGCATTTTAATTAAATAATTTTTTTACAATATATTAAATAATACAAAATTATTCTATAGTTTTATTACATTTTTTATATTGTAAAATATAATAATTATTATTCTTTTATAATCGATATTTTTTAATTATGCAATTCTTTTTATAATTAAGGAAAATAATTAATTGATTTATATTTAATATTATATCTATAGAAATTCATAACTAGTATAAGATATTTTAATTTCGTTTTCTAATTATTAGAAATTAAATTTTGAACTTTTTCTTTTTTTTAGATATTTTTTTAACCAATTTTTTTCTCACTAACATTGTCTGCACTGCTTTTTTAGTTTATCTCTAGTCTTTCCATCAAAAGATAAATATTCTGACTCACGACAATAGCAGTGTAACAAAATGATTCAGAAAACCTTGAAAAAAAATTGTCAATTCGAGTTACATATGTATTTTAAAATTTTTCAATTATCAAACATATTTGTGTTTTTGTTTTTATTAATAATTCCTTTTTTTGTAATTATTTTCTATTCCATATTTTAAAAATTAAATATTTCGAAAAAAAATTCATTTTATAAATTACGTAAACAACTTTTTATCCATATATTTCTTTTGGTAATAAATAATATAAAATTATCCGAATTATAATTATTTGTTTATTACATTGCAATATATAATTTAACTATATAAAAAATTTTAATATAAAAAATACACATGTACTTGAAAAACTGAAACTTGTTATCAAGTAGGTATTTGAAAAAGAGGTTTCTTATACGATAAAAGCAAATACCGAATGCTTAAAATATTTTATAGAAATGATAATTCATATTTATATTTTCTAGAAATTGAGGTAAAATTAAAACAATTTTATTTCAAGGTTCTCCACTCGATATCATTTTTTTTTTTACTTTAAATTACAAATTTAAAACAAAAATATTTATTTTTTTTATTTGCTGTTAAACAAAATATTAATTAATTTTAATTTTACAGGCTGCCAGTTTATCAAAATTGAGATATCTCAATCTATCAAGAAATGGAATTAATGAAATTGGTTTAGCTGCTTTTGTAAAACTCAACGATTTGGCCGTATTGGATTTATCACGAAATCATTTGAATTATATTTATACCGATACATTTGTGACAAATTTAAAATTAAAAATATTAAAACTTCAACATAATAATTTTAATCATCATGTTCCTAATTTGCGATCATCAACAATTACCGTAAGTATTTTGAAAAATAAAAATATTTTATTTTAATCAAAAATTTATGATTTGTTAATGACTTTTATTTTTTTTTTTAGGAACTTGATCTCAGTAGCTGTTTTATTAGCCATTTGCCTGGCGATACTTTCGACCTTATGAAGAAATTAAATAATGTTGATCTTTCGAAAAATGTAATGATTCAAATTCATGCGAAAGTATTACAAAGAGTTCCTTCTCTACAAATAATTTCCCTCGAAGGGTAAGTGAAAAATAAATTTTAATTTTAGAAAAAAAAAAAGAATTTGAAATATAAATCCGAATTTTATTTTAATTTAATTTCTTTTTCAGAAATCCCTGGTCCTGTAATCGATTGATGCAAGAAACACAAAATTATCTACACAGCAGAAAAGTGAAATTTAAACAAGTTTGTGAATCAAATAATGGACCGAAAAAATTCGAGAGAATGAAACTAGAAACACAATCATCGCCGGCACCATCTAAAAAATCACTCAATATTCGTTTATCATTTCCTGAAAAATCAATGCAAGACCCATGGGAAATAATTGAAAAAAATGAAGAAGTAAAAGAAGATGAGACAATTAAAACACTTCAAGCTTTAAATATTTCACGAAAATTTAATTTATCAACTAATATAATTAATTCATCACCATATTGGTTTATTGGAATTGGTTTTCTTCTTGGCAGTGCTTCAACATTAATAGCAACTTATCTTTGGCTTTATGCAGCAATATCTTGTAAACTTTTAAGATTTTCACGTGAAAATGATATTGATCGCTCGAACATATCTTCTACATCATCATCATCATCGCAAAGAATATCTCTATTACAAAATTTGTGGTCACAAAATGAAGATCAAAATGATTCACTATCAACTTGTCCAGGTACACCTCCACCACCTTATCGAGAAGTAATGTTACACAGAAGTTTATATCCTTCAGTACGATGACACAATAGCGAATTCGGAGCACACGAAAATTTTCCCAAATTGTCCGAATTTTTTTTATTATAATTTATTTCCATTATTTTTAGAAATGAATTTTTCTTGTAAAATAATCATTTTGATGGAATTTTCCAATTTAAGCCTCTTTAAGTCTAATTTCTTGCCACAATTATTATTATTGAGACATGATTATATAGTCATGTGAGAGTCACGTGACTCAAGTTCCAAGACAAAGACAGAGATTAAATTGCCGTCTTTCATGGAAAAAAAAAAAAAAAATTCGACATTTTATCAAAACAATATGTCGGGCGCGATGACATTCTGGGTCACAAGAATAAATCGCTGACATAAGTTTTGAATAATTGTATAAAATTTAAATACTACCATATTTTGTATATAGATATGTATAAATTTATAATATATTTATTGTGAACTACGAAACAATTGCGCTTTTAATAAGATAATTGTAAACAATAATTTTAAAGACAACAAATTATTTTATTTTTAAAAAAAGAATGTACATTTTTTTCTAATTGTAAGAAAATTTATTTTTTCGTTTTTAAATTCTAATCACAGCCGATATTAATCTTAAGCCAAAGGAACTGATTTTCTTGCAAAAAATTTACCAGTGTTTTTTTTTGATGAATTATTGTGATTTACTTCATACGGATAGTATTTTTTTTTTTTTAAGAGATAAGTTTCTAGTCCTTTTTATTGTAAATATTGAAAGTGCGCAAACTTATTCAATTTGAATAAAAAAAAAAAAGAAACTACATTATATATTCATTTCTTTTTTCCCTATCTTGTTAATTCTGTAATTTTATTAACATTTTATGAAAAATATTTACTCTACACTGTGTGTGTTAATAAATTGTTAGAGAAAATACAATTTTTTTTTAATATTTGACTAAAAATATACTTCTAAAAGTATATTTCTAAAACAATGTTTATTAAAAATATATTAATGGCTCTTTCTTGGTAAATAGCCCTCATTATACGTTTTAGATAAATCGTATATGAATTCTTTTTAATTAGTTACCATATCGTTATCCTCAATTGGCAGTAATAATAATCTAAGTGGCAACGGCGTCTTCCTCGTCAGTGTTTTGGGAAGTATTTTCAATATTTACTATTTTGCCCCCAATTGCGTTAATTATATTATCAATAATGTCTGGACTGTACCTTGAACCACGAAGATTTGTTATCACACTTGCATTTTCATTACAACCAGATGGAACTAAATTTGTTGGCAATATCAATTGAATATCATTAACAATTCCATCATGAATATCGAGAATCAATTTTAAACGATTAGAAGAATTATTTCCCGTTGCCATTTCAATGTAACGTGTCACTGTGAATTTTGGTGTTTTTCCATAAATCCATTGCCATGAACGAAATTCCTCCGTTAATTGATCGATGCCTGTTTCGATAAAAAAAAAGAAAGCAAAATTTATCTTCAGTCTATTATTTATCAGCCAGACAAATTATTATTTAAATTATTTTTAAAATTACGAATCTTAATTATTTAATTAGGTATTTACAAATTTTTTATTTTTGAAAAAGAAATTATAATTTTAATTTAAAGAATATACCTGGAAACCAGCCCTCGCTGGGATTTATCATTTGAAATCCTTTTTGTTTTTGAATTAAATTATAGCCACCGTCTTCGACAACAAGTGATTTTGTTCGCAAAAATTCCCAACCAATGGCATTTAATAATTTGTCAATTCTAACGTGATGATTAATTTCTGTTAAATTTTTCACTGGTGAACGTATCGATTGCGTTGCATTTGTCGTAATTCCAGTCTGAAAAAATAAAAATCATTAGTTTCTTTACTTTTTCAAATTTTAAATTAAGAAAAATACCTCCTTCCTCTCCAGAGCCAAACTCAAAGCTCTTTTATTCGAATTCACAAGTAAAGTACAATGATGATAAGCATTCGGTCGTCCTAATTTAGCCGCTGTTCCAGAAATCTTTTTATTTTACAAATTTAAGGAAATTAACACATGAAAATAAGAAACAAAAATTTTTTAAATTGAATTTTAAATATAACTTTTAAAAAAAGGATACTTTGAATTCATTTTGAACGACAATATCATCTTTTTTATTGACAGTTGTCTTTAATCCCCATTCACGGAAAATTGCTCTGGTAATAATATCCAAATTATATTTTCTATTGTAACGCTCCTTTGGTGTGAAAAATGATAAATTAAGATTGCCAAAATCATGATAAACAGTACCGCCACCACTATTTCTTCTTGCTAATTTAATGTCATTATTTTCAATAGCATTAATATTTGCTTCAATCCATGGATTTTGATGTCTTCCAATAACAACACAAGGATCACTTTTCCACAATAATAAAAGATGATGATTTTGAAAATTAAAATTCTTATAAAACCAATCTTCCAATGCTAAATTTCTATGAATATCTGTTGATTGTGAAATAAAAACTGATTTTTTAATTTCCTCCTCTGGTACATTATTTACATATTGATTGGAAATAAATCTATTATTCTTTATCAAATTTCTTAAAAATACTCTCGTAATATTTCCTTTATGAATTACAGACATTTTTTTTTTTAAATCAGTCTTTTATACTTAAAAAATACCAAATTATAAAAAAAGGGTCAGTCTTTTTAACACTTGAATTTTTCAATGAAAAATATTATTAATAAAGTTTTTTCTTCTGACAACTATTTTTTTCAAGTGACAAAAAATGATCAAGTTTTATTAATTTTCGAGGTTAGATTTATGTTTTTATCTTCGCTGAATTGTTTTCTTTCTTTTTGACTTGATCACTTTCTTTTTTTTGTCACTTTATTGATAAAAACAAGAATAGAAATCAGATTGATTGGAAGTGATTGAAATGAGATAATCGTGAAGGGCAATTGTTTGATGTAACCACTTCCAAGTTTGGTCCAGCGAATTTATGCGGTACCTGATACCTAAACAATCTCGGCAGTCCTTTTGCATTCCTCCGTGTGCTGACAGATTGGAAAAAAAGAAACTCTTCAATAAAAAAAAAAAAACGAGCACGAGTTTTTTTTTTTTTTAATGTCCTTTATATTCACAAAACACTGTGGGAAAAAAAAATTATTTCATTAATGTATACTTATAAACAAAAAAAAAATTGATATATCGCGAGTACTGTGTCAATATTGGAGCACTTGTCAAGACAAAATGAATTCATAACTCGTTAGGTTTTGATATTTTATCAATATGCGCGATTCAGAAACAGTGGGGGGGCTTTATTTTCTAAAAGTAAAAGGTTATCTGAGTTCGTGGGGCACAAAGTACAAATGATTATATGCGTGTTGCAGCGCAATGCACTTTTCTATGTTTGTATAACAAAAATAATAGATTTTTATTAAATACAAAAAAAAGAGGAAAAAAAAAAATTCTTTAGTGTTTCAAATATAATTAATTTATAAATTCAATATCTCGTGATATATGAAAGTGTTTAGAATAGTTACGATTATTATCTTTTTTTTTTCAAAGGACAATAAACTAAATTCAATTATTTAAGTTCTAAAGTCCATTCTTGATGAATTACAAAATGCCAATATAGGGGTACAATAATCGTGTCTCTGATAAAAAATTAATAAAACAATCATAACAATGTAGAAAAAAGTAACAAAGTATAAAGACAATTTTATTCATTCACTTTGTATTTATTGCAAAATAATGTATTTTTTTTTACTATTAATCTTTCTCATCTTTCTCAATTGTAAAAATATATAGGTTATGTTTATAAATACTTACATATTACCAATTTTCTTATCACTGAGGGGACGTGATTGAAATCACGTGTGTCCACGCATTTGCAGAAATTTTATCAATAGTTTTTCATTTTTTTTTAATGCAAAATGCGTATATTTTATCTGTGATAATTTTTTCATAGATATCTTATCTTATGAAAAATTAAGTATACTATTAAAATCCAATGACTTTGTATAATGAAATTGCTATATATACAAACGTGGTATAACTAATTAATTATCCTCATAGCAAATGTATTTAAAAATTTAATTATAATAATTTTAATTAAGAAATTATATTTGACATAAACACAAAGGGATCGAAAAGTGAAAACTAACCTCAAATATTTCGTAATATATAGTAGAAATGTAAAAAGATAAATTTAAAGTAAAAACTTTTTGGTACTTTTTTAATTTTACAAAGTTTTGCACAAAAAATGGTTCTATACTATTTATATATTAAGTATTTTGTTTATTTTTTATTAAATATTGTGAATATTTTAAAATTGCCGGCAATTATAAAAATGACATTTCGAGAGTATGCGCACAATGATTCATGCGCTAAAAAGAGACGCCATTTGCCGCTGTCAAAAGTTAAAATGTTTTTTTGTGTTGACACAGAATAATTAATAATATAATGTATAAATTCTTATAAAAAGCACTAATTAAATTTGTCAACTAAGTGATAGATAAATTGCACTTTAAATGAATTTTAATTTTACCAGAAAAATGTTTTATTTAACAAGAATTTAGTTATTCTAAATGTAAAATTTTTTCCGGCATTAGAATTTGTTTTGCAATTTTTTTTTTTTATAGAAAAATATTATCAAATATGTTACAAACACTTCGTGAACGTTCTCAGAAGCGTAAAAAATTATTAGCACAAACGGTGAGTTTTTGAAATAATAAATAAGTATATAATTATTACTTTGTAAGAGTAAGAAATTTTAAGGTTAGTTTTTTTTTTTTAATGAATTTTTATAGTTGGGAGTTGCAAGTCCTGTGGAACTTAGACAAATTTTAGGAACAGATATCGATGATATTAATAAGAAAAAAATTAGATTATCGACAAAATCCGAGGAGGATGTTCAAGGATCAAAAGACGATTCCGTTCCTACGGATGAAATTGTTTATAAAGATTCATCAACATTTTTAAAAGTGAGTATATTATTTTGTTTTGTAAATTAAATATATGCAATTTTTTTTTCTGTATTGTAAATTTTGTTTGTAATTATAAAAGGGTACACAATCATCGAATCCGCATAATGATTACTGCCAACATTTTATTGACACGGGTCAAAGACCTCAGAATTTTATTCGTGACGTGGGTTTAGCGGATAGATTTGAAGAGTATCCAAAACTTCGTGAATTAATTAAATTAAAAGATGATTTAATATCGGAAACTGCAACTCCGCCAATGTACTTGAAAACCGATCTCGCTAATTATAATCTTAAGGATTTAAATTGTAAATTTGATGTTATTCTCATTGAACCACCACTTGAGGAATATCAAAGGACATGTGGTGCTACGAATGTTCAACTATGGAATTGGGACCAGGTTTAAAATCTTTTTTTTTTTGTATTCCATTTAATTACTTGCTTTCTTTTTAATTGACAATTTTATTTAGATAATGGATTTGGATATTGGTGAAGTGGCAGCAAATCGTAGTTTTGTGTTTCTTTGGTGTGGCAGTAGCGATGGTTTAGATATGGGACGATATTGTTTACGTAAATGGGGTTTTAGACGTTGCGAGGATATTTGTTGGATTCGAACGAATATCAATAATCCTGGTCATAGTAAAAATTTGGATAGTAAAGCAGCATTGCAAAGGACTAAGGAACATTGTTTAATGGGTATTAAAGGAACAGTGCGAAGATCAACGGATGGTGATTTTATTCATGCGAATGTTGATATTGATCTTATTATATCTGAGGAACCTGAATATGGATCTATTGAGAAACCTGTGGAAATTTTTCATATTATCGAACATTTTTGCCTTGGCAGAAGAAGGTACCTTTTTTCTATTTTATTTTAAATTGATTTAAACTTATATATATATTTACTTTTGAAACATGTATAATTTTTTAGACTTCATCTTTTTGGTCGTGACAGTACAATAAGACCTGGTTGGTTAACAGTTGGACCATCATTGACAAATACAAATTTTAATTCTGACATTTACACGAGTTATTTCAATAATGGACAAATAACGACAGGATGTACCGAAAGAATAGAAGCATTGCGACCAAAGTCTCCACCTCCGAAAGGCAAATCAGTTGGAAGAGGTCGAGGTGGATTCAATCGTGGCAGAGGTAGAGGAAGGTAATTTGAAAAAAAATCCCCATTTTATATAAATTCTATTTTTAAAATATAAAGTATTACTTTTAACGTGAATGTATTTCGTTTAAGAGTTAATAAAAAAAAGATAGATTATTAAAATTTTCTTTATAATAAAAAATTGCCAAAAGTAGAGTAACTTACCATTTTTTTTTTTTAAATAAATAGTAGTGAAAAAAACTATTTTCACTTTCCAAAAAAAAGAGCACAAGGAGAAGAAGGGTAACACATTAAAAAAAATTACATTGTGTGAAAAAAAATCATAATTGTTTTAAATTCAATTACATATTTGAAAATATAATATATGTACAACCCACGAGATACAAAAAAAAAAAAATAAAAAAAAACACCTTGAATTTATAATACTGTACAATAAAGTATTAAACCTAATTTTTTTTCTTGCAACACAAAAAAAAGTATAAAATTCAAAGCTAGAAGAAAAGATTGTGTTCTAAAAAAAAATAAAAGTAAAAAAAATAAACTTACATATGGACTATTGTTACTCAAAAAAAAAACTGAAAATTAAATAATTTTCTAGCCTCTAACTGTAGTTTAAAAGAGAGAGAGAAACAATGTCTAACTAAGTTAAAAAACATTGCATTTTGAGTAGTTCTTAACTACATTTTTTTAAATAGGAGAAAAAAAATTGAAAAAAAAAATTATTTAGTGGTTTGACACCGACGTTATAATTGTTTGAAAAAAAGTCTTACAATCGGTCTAATTAACTATATGGTTCTATAAATTAATAGTCATAAAATTGACAATGCATCACAGGCTTGTCCGAAGATTTTTTTTTTTAAGGGAGGATGCGGGTTTTCTTTTTTTTGCATGCGTAGCGGATGACAGCAGGAGATGCGATGATAATCAATCGATTGAACAATTTGATTGATAATCAAGCGGTGCGTTGTTACACTTGCGGGAGAGTTGATCGTCTGTGAGGAGATTTGCTCTGATTGGCCCGCCATCAGTCAAGTCACAAAGTCACAAGTACGTCGACTCCCCTGTAAAAGACCTAACGTCAGTCAATCCGTTGATTTTTTAAAAAAATTTTATTTCCTAATTTTCAATATAGTTTCCCAATTATCAAAGATCTATTTTCATTTGATTTTAATCAGTAAATTTCTTTTGATTGAAAAAAAATGATTCTTTTTTACCTATAAAGAAAAGAAACAAAATTTTTTAAAATTAAATTTGAAATATTTTTCAACTGTACTGAAAAAAATTCTTTTTTTTTATTATAATGAGAATGAGGAAAGAAAAAATTATAATATTAAATAATATATAACCAATACACACAGCAGGAAGTTTCCAATCAGCAATATAAAGAAAGTAGAAGCAGAAAATTAAAAGGAAAGCAAAAAAGGGGAAAAAATTAATTTTCTTTTTTTTATCGAAAATGAACAATTAGAAATTAAATTACAATAATAAAGATAGTCGAAGAAATTATTAAATAATGATAATGATTAATAATGAAAATGACGCTAAAAAAAAGAGGATAATTTGGAAAATTATTGGGTAAAGCAAGTTGACAGCTTTATGTTTGTACCAAAAACTTTTTTTTTTATACGAAAATCCATAAAGCATCTACGTCACTATTCTGTACATCGAAAATTGAAAAAATTACTATTTTTTTTATACATTTAACGAGAGTTAAACTATAGAAAGAGGGCGGGGAAAAAATGCGGTATTAGAGGAATCGTTAGTTTGTTAGTGCAAATTGACAAGTGTTACGTATATTTTTTTTCTTTTATTGGATTCATTAGAGTGTCAATTTTTTTTCAGCGAAGATTCCTATTATGATTAATCATATTATATATTCACAAGTTATTTACAAAAAGAAAAACATTTTTGATATACTATTTCCCAAAAAAAAACGTGGTTAAAATGGTTCAAATAAAAAATAATTTTTTTTTTTATCAGTCCAAGAAGGCCTTTTTTTCTCAAATTTCTTTTTTCTTAATAACTAAATCAATTAATTAGAATTACAAGATATTATTAAATTATGATAAAAAAATAGTAAATTTATTTTTAAAAAATAATTTACAAAAAAAAATTATTATTTAAAATTTAATAATTAAATTATTATTAAATTTATATTTATTTATATTCATATTTAAGTAATTTTTTTTTTTCTATAAATTCCATATATTCTATATATATCTTCTTTTTCTATAAATTCGATATAATTAGTTTAGTTTTGAGAAAATATTCGAGAAAAATTATGTAATTAATTTATTTGGACCGCCAGTGGGGGGGGGGATTTTTTTTGCCATAAAGGACGCGATTTAATGAAAAATAATTTACTTGAACCATTAATACAAAAAATTGTTAAAATAATAATAAAAATTCAATACGAATCTCCACTGATTTTCTTTTTTGAGATTCGCTCTCTGCACAGATTTCGATTTTCCTACGTCTCTTATTTAATTTTTTGATTTAACATTCATAATTTTTTTTTTCGTGATACACTTACGCGCACATTATACAAAATGCAAGGAAGATATTTGTATATTTATACGTCGTGAAGTATTTTTTTCTTATTACAATTTTTTGTATGGTTAACATTTACTTTTCAGCAACTAATGTATTTTTTTAATTCGTAACCGTAGGATAATCTTTATTTTTCCTTTTTTTTAATTCTACCAACATTTAGGTACTTTCTACATTATACAAAAAAGATAGTATAAAGGGAAACTTTTTTTTGTAATATAATAATTATTTGGACTCGATTTCTCGTAACAAAATTCACATCACTCGATCTCTATAAATAAAAAATAGAAGAAAAAAATTCTTTCAAAACTAATCTTAGAGTACAATTGTTTTTTGTTTATGTTAAAAACTGTTTTTGAGTTAAACTCAATTCGTAAATATGCTTTACATAACTGTGTCTCTGACAATAAAAAAAGCGTTTAGATCATTCTTTTTGTTTTTGCATTTTTATTAATTAAAATCAATTATTTTAATTGGGAAATTTTATTTCACAATTAAAATTTTTATTTTAATTGTATTTGATTTTTTTCAAATCGAATTTTTCTATTATCGATTTATACTTGAAAATTCTTCAAGCATTTTTTTTGTGCAAAGAATGTTTGGAAAAAACAATTTTTTTTTTAAATTCATTTAATGAAATGAAAAAAATTTCATTAAAAAGATCTTATCTTTTTTTTTACGAAATTCGTAATTATTTATGAGTTTTCAATATATAAATAGAAATTGAAACTATATCATATACAATCCTATAGATTAAATCGAATATCAATGGTAGTTCTAATTATTGACTTACAATTTACTCCTTATGAAAATAGTAGTTTTTTTTCTTTACAGCATTTTTTTTTTTTGTCAGTCCGTACTTTACATAAAACGTACTTTTTTTTGCTCTTATATGAAATCTCATTTTCTAAAAATGGGAATTTGTTTCATCTTTTTTTTCTTTTAATCTTGTTAGATGGTTTATTTTTCTACTGCTTAATTTTAAAACAAAAAAAAATATAATTTGATGCAACATTTCACGAATGAGAGCAAACTCAATTAATTAATTAAAAAAAAAAAAATTCAGAAAGTTTTTTGTATAGTATTTTAATTTTTAAAAAAATGTCAGGATTCTTTTAAAAAGAATTTTAATAAAATTAGTTTTGGATTTAAATTTTAAAAAAGCTCTCTTTTAAAAATATATATCTCGTAGATAAAAGCTTTAAAGGATAAAACGAACAGGCGCTTTCCCCAGGTCGAATCGATTGTCAGCTTAAAAAATAAAGTATAATATCTGTGTAAGTCGCTACTGAAAAGTAGTTTTTCTATCTTTATCACAATGTTTTCATGTTCCTCAAACAATACTAGGAGAATTGCCGATACGTTTCATTAAACGAAAATGACAAACATTTCGCAAAAAAAAAAAAGAAAATTTTCAACAACAAAAATAATCGAAGACTACCAGAGAATTTCATAATCACAATTAGTCAATAATTCCAAATTGAATGACAATAAATTTCAAATTGGATATTAAACTAATTTTTTTTTCCTTTTTAGAAAAATATCCTTTTATCACAAAAAGAATCACCAATAAAAAAACATTTTTTCGAATGATTTTATTGTCGAGAAAGCATTAAAAAATAATTTATTTCTAAAATAAAATTAGAATCACTGTCTTAATTTTTTTTTTTTTTTAATAATAAAATCATAGTCGAGATTAAGTTTGTCCATTGTATGTAAGAAAGACTATAATATTTTATTTTTTTTATCACAAAAGCTTTCGTTGGGTGATAATTCTCTGGTTATACCTCGGATCATATCACGCGCATTGAGATTCAAAAAAAAAGAAAAAAAAAAGTTGATCACACAGCTGTTGTCGAAAAAAAAAAAAAACGAATGATGATATTTCCGAGAGAATGCCAGATTTATACATTAGATAATCAAATTTTGCGAATTCAGAAATAAATGTCAAAATGACATTCGAAAAAAAAGTTGAGAGATGATGAATGTGTGTGATAGGCGATGAACTCACATAATATTAATCATCCCTCCATCAGACAGAAGACGATATCGGCCCACACGTTGATCCACTGGTGGCGAACAAGACACATATACATATATAAATTTTATATATGTAGAAAAATAGTTTCAATAAAACTTTACAAAAAGAATCGAAAAACAAATAATTTCTCTCATCAAATCAATTTCAAAATCAATAATAAAAATTTATTTCCTCTTGAAATTGATTCGATCATACGTCCCAAGAACAAATTAACCAATCTCGCTATCGAATTTTTTTTCGTTTGACAAAATAAGATCTCAAAATTCCTTTTTTTCATCATTTTCTAAAAAAAATACTTCTTTTAAAATAGTTTAAATAAATACTAATTAATTTAATTTTTAAATATCAATTTGTTCCAGAAACTTTGATCTAAAATTAAAATATATAAAAAATGAGAAAAAAAAATTAATAAACACTCCAAGCATAAATAAAAACCTAAAATGATGAAAGCAAGAAAGTTCAAGATGCTTGAAAACAAAAAAGGAAAAAAAACACGATTTTTCCTATAAATAATCACGCAACGACTTTTAAATTAAGTAAAAAATAATAAACTACTTAAAAATCTACGTAAAAAAAGAAATCTTTATAAACATGCTCTTAATTATTAAAAAAAAATCTTCGATAAATAGAAACATATTCTAAATCGCAAACGGCTAAAAAATCGAAACAAGTAAATATAATTTACTTTTATCAAAATAATAATAAGCGGATGTGATATTAGAAGACACTAATATTTATAACACAATTGAAATTATAATTTAATTACAATATGTGCGTATAATTTTTTCCATAAAAATATCAATTACAGAAATACATTTTTGTAATACCTACAATTAAAAAAAAAAAGAAAAAAAATTTAATGAAAAATAGTGACGTTGTGAGGTGATATTGATAAATATAATGTGTTTATAATAATAAAAAAAACCAGTAGCAAGTAATAGTTACAGTGAGAGATGTAATATTGCGAATAGAAGGCAATGATAATTTCTAGCGATGACAATATTTATAACAATAACAATAATTATAATATCACAAAAATAATTTTTTTTTATACACGATGCAAAATCATTTATTCGTAATTGCATTTTAATTTTATTTTTCCGTAACGAATAATATTTATTCGTTTTTTGATTCATTATTAATTTACTATCAACATGCGATGACACAATGAAATTCTAAAAATTCCTCTTTTTTTTTGTTGCACAAGCACTAACGAATTCAAAAAAAAATTCCTACATCAAGGATTCCATTATCTCGTCTAGTTCCATTATCATAATTAAATTAGATAATCGACATATCATGCGGTCTAGCCATTAAAAAAAGAGAAAGAGGTAGTGAAAATGCTTATTTTTTAAAAAATACTACTGAAAGAACTGAGAAAAATTTTTAAAATAGTTTAAAAATAATATAAAAAAAAGATTAAAAAATTTAAATTGAAAGATAAAAATAAGCGGAAGAAGATTAAAGGGGATAATGAAGATAAGAAAGAAATGAAATAAAAAACAAACAATTTAAAAAAAGCAAATGACGAATCGAAATTTCAAAAAAAGAAAACAATTTACCAGACTTAAGTTTTTCAATATAAAAATTAACTTAATCACAATGTCCAACCTTCCTTTCCAAAAAAAAAAAAAATAAAAAAAGTTGTTTATACAAAAAAAAAAAAAACCATAGTAACAAATTTAAGATATACTTTGCTACTTTTAGTTATCAGGAAATTAGTTGATAATTTTTATAAATAAAAACTTTCGATAAATGATACAAGTGAAAATTTCTATTTTTTCAAATACCCAAATAATTTATAAATTAGAGCAAAAATTAAATGCTCCGTATTGGACAATTTCGAATAAAAGTTTTCATTTTTTAAAATATTTAAATACTATCCATTTTATAGATATTCTTCAAAAAATTTCAGTTTACAATTTACTTTTTCGTTAAAAGTATTAAAAATCAAGATTATTTGAATAATATCTCATTTTTTTCGGGGATATTTCTCAATCAAATTTTTTATCCGATTTTCACTAATTAAAATTGGCAATAATTTTCAGAAACTCTCAGTGGGCATTTGAGTTTGATTTCTAATAAAAAAAATTCGTTTTCATGCATTTGAATATTATTTTCTTTTTTTGCAAAAAAAGTATTGTTTTTAAAAAAAATATATACATATTTACCGACTAATTTTAAAAATTCCAACACATTTCTAAAAAAAATTCGCCAAAAATAAACAACTATCTACTGTATAGTACAAAAACCAAAAAAATATTTCTTTTTATATTTTAATAACAACAAAATTTATTGTCTAAATCGATGCACAAATATTGCATCTCTTTTATAGAAAAAAAATTCTCGTTCAAAATCAATTTCACATGTTTAAAAAATTTTAAACAAAAGAAATCAATTGCAAAACCGAATGCAAAGAGTAAAGAATTTAAATTTAGAAAAAAAATAATCAATTCTTAATTAATATAAAGATATTGCGAATTTTTTGCTACTAAAAAAAATCACTTTTCAGTCAATTGAAAATTGTTTTTGTTCGCTTTCAACGAAATTTCAGGGAATAAAAATTGAATAAAAAGCGAATAAGTACCAAGAGCAAAAAACTAAATTATCAAAGGTGGCAGATCTTTACAAAATACCGCGAGGAACGTTTTTTTTTTTTGTTTTAAACACTGGTGAAATGTGCTTTTTCTAAATATTTACTTTCTACTTCTACCATTATCTCCAAGTGAAACCCTTAGCAGTTTCTTTGAGACTAGCTCTGTGGTGAGTATTGGTTTGTGTTTGGCTACTGCTGTGTGTAAGATGATGGTGATTTGCCATCAGAGATGTAGAAGACTCACCCGATTCCCAACCATCCTCGTCACCAGTCGTGTCACACTCGCTACTGTCAGCTTCACTCGATTCACTTGGCGTCTCTTGTCCTCCCATTCCTATTTGTACATTCTCACTTTCTCTGCTCATTGTTCCTGGCACTGTTGATGGAATATTCCCACCTACACGATGCATATATAAAGTTACCTACAAACAAAAAATTAAATCATTAAAAAAATAGAATTTAATTATCAGAATTTCAAATAACTGGATAAACAAAAAAAAAAGAGGTGCGACTCACTTTGAAATTTGCATCATAGAGTTTGTGATGTTTATCTTTATGCGCGTCGTCTAAGCCCCACTTGTCAATATTGAGTACAAGTGTAGGTGGCATTGGACCTAAACTCGCTAAACTGCCAGTTCTCTGTTTTGTGTGTGATGTCATCATTGGAAGTTCCATTGCCGTTCCATCACAACTCAATGCCCTCGTCGATCTTTCCACTGGAAGTTCTCCATTGTCATATTCCGACGTTAAATGATCACGTACAAAAAATGTATTTATCCAAAAGTGAAACATTTTTTCCTAATTAAACGCAAAAAAACATTAAAGAAAATTTTCTTTTTAATTATACAAATGAATAAAAAGGAAACATACTTTTCTCTTCATTTTTGGCCTATTGAAGAACTCTATTCGAATGTCACCAGTAACAGGAACACTGTGTTTTAGAGGCATTACTAGAGGTATAGAGTTCGTATTTTTTCGTACTTCGAACGCGTCAGAGGTAAATATTTTTCTTTTACCTTCCGATATCACAAAATGCACGTCTAAAAAAATGTTTTACATTAATTCTACAATAATTCTAAATGTGATAACAAAAAATACTTACAGCCTTGGCTTCCGTTAAAAATAGGTGCTGGATCCAGTTTTATTTGACGTAAAATTAATGTTACTGGCTCATAATGAAGACCTTCTTTTACTAATGTTGCATAATAACCAACGTATCTTCTTTGCGAAGGTATTGTTACTCCTTTCCTATTTTTTTTATTAAAATTAAAAAATGATTAACCAATAAAAAAATCTATTTATATTATTTCTACTTACATATCAGTGGTTCTTTTGTTGCCGTAATATTTGAGGGCCTCAGTTGCCGATGGAAATTGATGACTATGAAGAAGATAGCAACATACCATCACTCCCGTTCGTCCTTTTCCCGCTTTACAATGAACAACCGCAACATTATCTTTATGCTCTGACAGCCATTTATGAACATCTTCGCAAAATGGTTTTATTAATTCCAACATTGGTGGATTATGATCATCAAATGCATAAGTTGCCACTCTTTGCTTAAATTTTTTACAATCATACGACCTTTCGGAGCAGCTGAAATATACATTCATTTATTATTATTTATAAAATAATAATTTAGAATTTCAATACTTACAGATTGTAAATTTTATAATGGTCCTTGTGTTTGGACTCTAATAATTTAACCACATCATCAATGTGATTTCTATAAACTCCCTCAAGCTTTTCAGCAGGGAATCCCATAGCTATTAAATTATGTTTTATATCTATAAAAATATTAATTAAGGATTACATAGATAAAAATTTATAAAAAAACGAATTTATCCTTTGTGACACGTTTTTGATTAAATAAAAAAATCTTTAAAAAGGATACATGAGAGATCAAGATCGAATCCATCTTCGGTAAAACGCTTTCGTCGTTTACTAACCAGCCCCTTTATGGGGTTGATCATTTTCATATTGCTGATGGTGTTCGCCATGCTCGGTTGATTTTGTTTTACCTCGCTGGCCTCACTTCCGACCGAATCTCCTTCGGTTTCCACCTCTTCTCTTTCCTCCCGTTTCCCTTGGGGAACCTTAATCTACATCAAATCTTCTTTTTTACAAAATATTCAATTATTCCTCCTTTTTTAAAAAAAATAAAATATTTTACAAAATTCAGAGTATTAAAATCATTTTCAATTTTATTTATAGAAAAAGAATAATTACGAAAAATTAACGAACCTGTGGCTTTCGAGCCGTGGTATTAAACGAACCCAATTCTGGTCCTCTTTGTTCTTCCAGACAAACATGGAGGGGTGTTACCGACGCCGAGATGTGCTCTGATATTTTGTTGTTAAGGCGACTACTCGTGGGTCTCCTGCAGGAAAAGCATATACCCATCAATTCGTAGAACATAGGTCCTTTTTATTATCCATCTCGCGATGTCCTTTTTTTTTAAATCTTCGACGAATAAAATCGGATTTCTATATATTTAAATTTCACTATTATCTCACCACTAGATTTACTTTTTTTTGGCAAGTAACCGCCAAAATATTCCCTCACACACACATACACAGAACAAATTGATTTTGTCCATATATATATATATTTATTTATATAAATTCAAAAAACACTTGATAAAATCCCCAAAAAAAAGAACTAAAACTCCTTCATGGCTGTTACATGATTTTTTTTCTTTTTTGTTTTTTAATGGAAGACAAAAAAATCTTCAGGGAAGGACATCCATTTTTCCTGAAAAAAAAAGAATTAAAAATAATCAATTGGAAAAATATTTTATTATTAATTACTATCAACTAATTTATCATTTCAGTTTTCAGACAACCTAACCTAAAAAACATTCAAACTTTTTTTTATAACTAATAAACAAATAATAAGATATTAAAAATATTTAATTAATTCATTATTATTTTTTTATACATATTGCAAAAAAAATCAAAGGTCATTTGCATAAGATTTTACAAAAAAAAAAATTGCAAATAAATTTTACAAAAGTATGGAAAAATTAACTCTAAAATCAACAGATGACAACGCGTTGGAAAAATCGTTTTTTAACGCAAAATAACACTGCTGTCAATAGAAAAAATAATTGATTTTCTAAAAGATTTCGCCATGAAACAAAGGAGAATAAAATTTCACTGACGGTGGGAGAATCTTAATCGAAACTATACCACGAAAACCCGTTATCTCTTCTTCTTCTTTAAATTATATATGCAAAATTCCAAAATTCGTTCAAATCAAAAAGCTTACGAAAATATGAATTTTTCAAAGAACTTCAAATATACTATCTATTATATTCTTACCGTCATATAATTGCGAAACTGGGAAAAAAATCTTTTCGCAAAAAAATAAAGTAAGGTTATGTCACATAGTGGGAGCCGGAAAATTTTATAATCCTTTAAATATGTTTTCTAATAGTTCCTGACAATAAGACTAAATATATCTAATCTTGACAGATCACAAAAAGGGATTTGAGATTTAAAAAAATAAGAAAAAAGGATTATTACTACACTAGCTAAAAGGGGGCCATCGTTGCAAATCATATCCTCTAAGCCATGTTTAAATCGCGACACTCCCTTTTTTTTATCCCTTAATCACGATCCCGATTATCCTTGGTGAAAATTGTAACATAATTTGCAATGGTCCCGCGTTATTCAACGTGTCAGCGTGTCAAAATCTGCACTTGCAGCTCTCTACTACACCTCTCACAAGCGCGCGCACTCACACATTGATGACAATTGAGAGAAACACACACATACACACACGAACATATATATATATATTATCCCCTCACTCTTTGAAACAATGCATTGGATTATTGGATCTATATAGGAGAACAATTCGCGAAAAATTGATCAACACGGAAAATTTGAATGCTTACTATTTTGTCAGGATGTCTGGAAACAGTATATAACTTGGATGCCTTGTTACAGCCCCGAGAGGAAGGGGGGAATTTTGTTAATTAGAAGTGTTCCCCCAACTATAAAGCGTCTATTTCACAAAAATCAAATCACTCGATAGTTGATAGAATAAATCAAATATCACAACAATTCACCTGATGTAACATTCCCAAAAAATTGTGACCACGAAATTTCTCAGTCTTGGTCACGGGAAATTTTTGATTTTCCGGCCCTCCTGCGGCATCACTCTTGTTTCAGGGTTTTCCACACAAGTAACAAAGATGGCGCTCATCTGAAACTGTCTGTGAGGAGCTCTTATATAGTCAAACGTGATTGGTCGAATTATTTTCCCCCTTCTAAACCCTTTCATTTTTGGAAAATCTCCATTTTTCCGGGCATTTAATTTTTTACAAAATGTTTTTCATTTAGAAAAGTTTTGTTAAAAGAAAATTAAAAAAAATTTATATATATAAAAAATATAATATAAATAAAAATAAGTAGAAAAAAGTATTTTTTGCCGGGAAATTCAAAAAATGCATTTTGATTTTAGTGATAATGAAATAATTTTATTTTTGAATTAATGAGAAAGACATTTAATATAGTAACAATTTTTTTTTCTTGTTGAATCTTACATAATTTATATGAATTATTTTTTACTTACATTTATGTTATTAAGAAGTATTTACATACAGATCTAATATTTACAGATTCATTTGGTTTTTGATATTATATGTGCATTTATTTTCTTAAACACTTAATATTTGTGTATGTTTGTTTACAATTTTGATTTTAATAATACCTAGATTTGTTGCGTTACTTAATTTATTTTATTTAAAAAAAATCTAATTAACAGCAATACCTATTGTTTAATTTACCTTTTTTTATACATTCACTTCATGAATTATAGGTATTAAATTTAAATTCTATTATAAAAAAATGGATTCGACTTTAATACAGTGAATATTTTTTTTAAAGAAATTAAATTTACTTTGTACTTTCAATAAAATGAATATTTTTAATAAAATAAAAAAAGAATTTAGTATTATTAAATTTAGTACTACTTATTAAAAGCAAAAATCATTTCTTTGAAATGTTTTATCGTTTGATTTTTAATTATCAATTCTCACTACAATTTATATCCTTTTATCATTCCGATAAAAAAAAAAATTCATTACCTTCTCTCTCTCTCGTAAAAAAAACCGCATTTATAGACTATATAAATATTTTAACTACCAATTCATTTAGTCTAAATCCAATTTAGTCATGGGTAGACCGCTTGTTTGAATTTTCGATGTTTTCATTTTTTTCAAAGATGTTAAAAGATCATCCATTGTTATTGGACGCACTGCATCGTGATATTCTTCATCATCCGTATTTGTACCTTGCGACGTGTTCGATTCTCTAAAAAAAAAAACAATTTTTAATTAAGAATTTAAGAAATAGAAAATAATTAAGTAATTTCAAAAAAAGTTTTCTTACAACGTATGATTTCTTAGATAATCACGAACGCGATAAACTGATGCATTTCTGCAAAGTTCTTGTAAATCAGATCCAGAAAATCCATCAGTCATTTTTGATAGTTTTAAAATATCCACATCTTCAGAAATTGGTTCGGTATCTAAAATTAAGTGTAATATTTTTTTCCGTTGTTGCTCCTCCTTAAAAAAAGAAAAAGAATTAAAAATTTTTTTTTGACACAAAAAAAAAGAACAGTTAAAAGAAATAACTGACTGGCAATCCAATATGAAAAGTAGCGGGCATGCGTCTTAAAATTGCTCTATCTAAATCTTGTGGCCTATTTGTTGCACCCATAATAATAATTGTACAAGATGGATCGGTAATTAAACCATCCCACAATGACATAAATTGGGCTTTCATCATTGCTGTCGCCTCATGATCTTGTGAATTACGAAATCTAAGAAATGAATCTAAACAATTTTTCAAAAAAAATGAATTTTAGTTGTATTAAATGAAATGAATTTATAAATATTAAATTATATTAACCTATTTCATCGATGAAAATAATGCATGGTTGAATTTTCACAGCAAGTGAAAATACAGCAGACGTTAATTTTTGACTTTCTCCATACCATTTGTCAGTGAGAATGCTAACATCCAAATTTATAAATCGTGTTTTAGCCTCACGTGCTGTTGCTTTTGCAATCATTGTTTTTCCACAACCTGGCGGTCCATGTAACAATACGCCCTGAAGAAAACAAAAATACATAATAATATAAAAGAACTATATAGTAAAAATAAATAAAAAAATACCTTTGGTGCTTGAGTTAATTGTGAATCTTCAAAAAGTTCTTTTCTTTGAATTGGTAGTATCACAGTTTCTTTAAATTCTTGAATAACATTTTCAAGACCCGCTATACTCTGCCAGGATACTTTAATATCATTTGGATCGACTAAATGACTAGCTATTGTCATTTCATAATCGGTTAAATTCTCACTGTCAACAGTAAGAACATTGTCCGACTCTGCAAGTCGTCGTAATTGTTCCTGTGCCTGTAAAATAATTAATTACCTAATAATAATAATAATAACTAATTAATTTTAAATTAAAATAAAATACAATGTCAATAAAAAAAACAAAATACTCTACTAAATGAGGTTAGGTTATTTTTTCTCAATTTGTTGTCATGTTTTTTTAATTAAATATAATTTAATTGAACCTTTTTTTTAGCCTGTTTTTTAGCTTGTGTAGTAGGATCCAATTGATTCATAATCCATCGCATGCTGAAAAATCCAATTGCCGCAACGAAGGAAAATCTCGCGACGAGTAATACAACTTCATAACGTGACGCAAATCCTGCTCCATCAGTTAAATTCATTGTTTTTTTTATTATATTTAAATCTTCACAGATAAATGTCAAATATTTTCAAAAACCAAACAAAGTTCATTACTATATTATTATTTAAAAGAAACAAATTTTCACTTTTATAACCTTCGAACCTTTTTCTTTGCCAATATAAGTGAAGTTGGTTGAATTTTGATAATATCGATTGCTATCATTCGATTAATCGCAATATTCGACTAGTTACACGTCCAAAACGAGATATCTGGTTGGTGGATAAAATAGTCGAATTTCACCAATCAGATGATTGGACTTATTAAAAGTTTTTTCTCATTGGTCAGAAACATTTTCAAGCAACCGACAGTACTTTATCAGCCAATCCGAGAGCGGGATACATTTTGGCGGTCATCACGTACAGCAACCAATCACGTCGCTCGATTAACAGTGCACAGTGACTCTCATTCCCGCTCATTTCCTCATTCCCTGTGGAGGCCTCGTACTGTGCGGAGGTTTGTTACTTCAGCTACCTAAGTTTTTATCTTTTTTATCAAGTGTTTTTTCTTCAATTCAGTGTTTAATTTAATTGTTTTTTTAAAAAGAAATTCGTAGTGAAAAAAGACGTAACAATAGAAAATAAGCGAAATTGGCAATTTTTGTCAAGAGGTTCCATGAATAATCAAGATCAAGAAAGAAATTTTTTACGATTCATCCAGGAATCGTGCAATAATCGGCGTCTAGGAACATTCACGGTATACAATTTTTTTTTATATTTTTCATTATTATTAAAGTTTTGAACCATATTTATTGATTTTTATCGATTATTGAAAAATAAAATGGCCGCCATGTATGGAAAAAAATTGCCAATTATAATCCAACGAAATCGAAGAAATCATTTGCAATTTTAAGATAATTCATTGTAATAAAACCTTATTTAGTACAGAGTTTATTATTTTTTATTTATATTTAACTTTTTTTGAGATTAAAATAGAAATTTTGTCAAGTTTTCACAAATTGGGCAACAAGTTGGCGGCCATTAAATTTTTTCACATGAATAATTATTTTCGCCGAATCAAAGAGGAGTAAAATTCCAAGTAGAGTTTTTATTTTTAGATATATTTAACTTTTTTTTGAGATTAAAAGAAATTTTGTCAAATTTTCACAAATTGTGAAACAAGCTGGCGGCCATGACATTTTTTCTCATGAATAATTATATTCGCCGAAACAAAGAGGTGTAAAGGAGTTTTTATTTTTTCAGGTTAATTATTTTAGAATTTCGAAAAAAATAATTTAAAAAAAAAATTATACTATAATATTATATTAAATTAAATTTTGTTTTGAGAAAAATATTTCTTTTTTGAGCTTTCGTGGAATTGCAGATTTATTTCAAATATACATATATACCTATAGTTCTCGGAATTTCGCATTTCTCAGAAATTTCACTTTCCGGAAATTTTATATTTCCGAATAAGGCGAACGAATTAAATATCTAAGAAATGAATTATTTATTAAATAATAATAATAATAATATTTACTTAATTAACAAAGACAAAATAAAATATACAATTTTTAAAGTTGAATTTTATTTTTCAAATGTTACAGAAATTTTTTATCAAATAAAAATCAGAATTCGTGAAGAAAATTGAGTTTTCACAATTAAAGAAAATATTCGCTATGTTAAGAAAAGTAGAATGGGGTTTATTGCATAAGCCAATGAAGAAACAAAAACCGTCAAAGATGACTTATAAAAATCAACCAACTAGATATGAAAATCAATTATTTTTCACAAGTATTTATTACTATTGTGAAATGTCCTGCAGATGATGGCGATCTTTTCATTTTTTACCAAAAATGGTAAATATTTCTTATTTACTAAATATTACTAACAAAAAATTTTTTTATATTTTATCCAATTTTTTATTTTTTTCATTTCATTATTTCATTCGGAATTTTATATCATAATTTTATAGTAAATTAATAATAATAAAAATAATAATAAATTATTAATTGGTATTATTGATTGTATAAAATAATTTTGTGGATAATTATAAAATTATAAACATTATAAAATTATTATAAAGTTATAATCTGTATAAAATTATAAATTGTAAACAATATTTTATTTTTCAGATAAATAGATCCTTTCGAGAACAGTCGAAATTACAACTAAAAGTTCGATTAATACTTGGTCTCTTTGTAAGGTTACTTTTTCAATTTCCAAATTGAAATTTGTAACCCAGAGGAGGGATCTCCAAAAATTAATCGAGCAAAGGTTGCCAAGTTTGATTAATACCTGGTCTCTTTGTAAGGTTATTTTTTCAATTTTAAAATTGAAATATGTAACCCAGAGGAGGGATCTCCAGGTATTAATCAAGCTTTAAAAGGATTCTTCCAAAGAGGAACCTCATTATTAAGGTAAATTAATTATAAATTCTCAATTAATGAATTTTTTCCATTTTATATATTTTTTCGATTTTTATATTCTTATAGCCACAAGTCAGAAAATTTTTTTTTCTCAGAGAAAAACATTTTTCACATTGAGAAAATTTATATTTTTGTGGCAATCTCTTATTATAAAATCAGGAATATTCCAATAAAAAACAAAACTAATATCGATTTTAATGTTTTTGTTTTCAGCGTCATCTGAGGAAAAATGGGAAAAAGGCCAACAAAATTCTTTTTATATAAAAAAGAAAAAACACAGGGAATAAGTTTCGCGAATTTTAATCCGTTATAGACAAAGTAAAACAATTTTAGATTCAGTGCGGTTTTAGTGATTCAATTATATATAACAATTTTAGGAATTTAAACCGCTAATAGTGACAATTAAAAATTAAATTAATGATATTCTAAAAAATGTTTTACTTATAAAATTTCGCGAATTTTAAACCGTTATAGACAAAATTGACTAAGTTTAGAATCAGTGAGTTTCGCGAATTTTAAATCGTTATTGTAAATAAATTGAAAAAGTGTAAAATCAGTGCGCGATTAAAAAAAAAAATATTTGAATCACAAGGGTTTTTAAAGTAGATAAATATTTTCAAATTGTTATTTTATATATCGAATGTTTTAATTAACTTTACCACTCAGTAGATTTTTTAAAAACATGATTAATAGTTTTCTGAAATGAATTTAAATCTTCAAAAATTTAAATTTATTTACTATTTTGTGCATTCATTTTTAAAAATAATTTTTTTGAGTTTTAAACAATTTTTTTTTTGGTAATACAATATTTTTTCAATTATAAGAATAAAAATATAAAAAAATAGGTCACATGAATATTTCCCAAAATTAAATTTACATTTAACAAAATTTTTAATTAAGAAACTTTCTTATTTAACCATATTTTCTTTAAGGAGAATTTTTATTCCAAAAAATTTTCCTTAAGGAGAATTTTTATTTCAAAAAATTTTTATTGAACAGAATTTTTAAATGTAAGAATTTTTATTTCATCGAAACTTTAATTGAATTAAATTTTCAAAATATTTTACAATTATTATATTCTTGATAATATATTTCGGTTGAGTGTTTGTTTAGACAAATGGAAATTTGACGTTTTAGAAGTTCTATAAAATTATAATTTGGATAAGTAAAAATTGAATCAAATTAAGTTTCCATGAAAAAAATATTCTCACACTTAAAAAATGGAATATCTGCTAGTTTATATTACTTTATTATTTTATTTGTAAAAATTGTTGCAAAATTCTATTGTGGGGAATATTCATGCGTCCTGAAAAAATGTTTATTAAAATTTATTGAGTTTTTGGTGTTAACTCTCTAAATGTGAATTAGTAGTTTTCTTCTAATGAAAGAGTGCGTATTCGTTTACCAATTAAATTAGTAACAGTTTTGACTAATTTGTAGTAAAAAAAAAACTACTAATTGCTAGTAGAAAACTATTAATTCATGGAGTAAGTCCTATTTTTTACTATTTCAAATTAGTAAGCCGATTTACTCCATGAATTAGTAGTTTTCTACTAGTAATTAGTAGTTCTTTTTACTACAAATTAGTCAAAACTGTTACTAATTCAATTGATAAACGAATACGCACTCTTTCATTAGTAGAAAACTACTAATTCAGATTTAGAGAGAAGATTTTAATTTTCGATATTTTTTTCTAGTCATTCTAAAAATTAGAGTATTTAAAATTTTATATTTTATTTCCTATTTGAATTCAAATACTTTTTTTTTCTCGAGTGTTTGTGCGCGAGTGATAAATTTGGAAGGATTCCAATCATGCATTTTCCATTTTCAATAAAGGTAACTTTTTTTTTGCAAAAATTTGGTCATTCTCATATTTTCAAAAAAAAAAAAATTATATCTTATTTTCTTAATGTTTAACACAATTATTATTATAAATTAAATTTTATTTTTTTACAGGACTTCCTTAAAGAATAAGGACTATGGACAATATGCTGATCACAAAACTTCGCAGCATCTTTCCCTCAGTCTATATGGAATCAACAAAAATTGGTAAGTCCCTCCTGTCTTTGAAAATTTATCAATTTCAGGTTGTAATAAATTTGAAAAATCTCACAGTGACCACTAATTTAAATTAATTGAAAAATTAAACAATTTATTATAATTAGTGAGTGGATTTTTAGCTGAATTTTTTAGATTACGATTTTCTTTTCTTGGCTCATGGAAAGCTAATAATTATTTTAACTATTAATTCTGAATTAAAATATAATTAATATAAGAAAAAGAAATATAATTATTTACTTTATTCAATTTTTGAAAAATATATTTCTTTCTCTTCTATTTTTTAAAATATGATAATAGAGGTATTTTTTAAATTAAAAATTTATTTATATTTTGAAACCAAGAAAAGAATACAAAAATTTGTTGTTTGAAGTCTTTGGTTATTGATTTTGTTTTTGGAACACATTGTTTTTTCTCATTCAATTTTGTTTGAGATTTTGATTTCCGAAATTTTAAATTCAACAAAAATTGTTTTTCTCGTTCAATTTTGTTAGAAGAGAGTTTGATAATGTTTAATTAAAAATTTGTGCATTATCAGATGTATTAGTGGTTTTGGCTGATTAATTTCAATAATTTAAATTACAATAAATTGTAATTCATTATTTTTTATTAGGGATTGATGAAGAAATAAAAAAATTGTATTCGTTTTAAATTATGCGCGGTAAACATTAACCAATCAGAAGTTATAGAATTTATCTGTGTTCAGTGCTGCCAATTTACGCAAATTTACACCAAGTTGCGTTCATTACATTATTGAACAAGTCGATAGAACTATATATATATAATTATTGTGAAATAAAAATAAATATGGCGAAACTGACAAAAGCGGTTTGGGAACTTTCATCAAATTTTGCATCAAATCAATACTTTTCAAGATTATTAACGTTAGTAAACACTTAAAATTTATTTCTCTATTATCTTTTACTTTATCTAGAAAATTTTGTAACTTGACAAGTTTTATAAAGTGATATAAATTACATTTTTTAATTCAAGTTTTGTTCAATGTTTGGATGACGATTTAATGTCACTATTTTTGTTTTATATTTTGTAAATATATAAAAACAATCAAATTATTTTATGATTATTAGTTTCATAACCTATATTTCGATATTTCTTATTTGTCACTTGATTATCAAAAGAATAATATTCTTTTAAAATATAATCAATATCTAAAAAAAAGTATTGAAATTATTTGAATTTTGTATTTGTATTAAATGTAAATATTTTTCAGTTCTTAAAATTATTTTCTAAATAAAATATAACTGGATTTTAAATAAAATTAATAATTATCTTTTTTAAGTAAGAAAAAAAAGTACAAAATTATTTTCTGAATAGAGTAATCGATTGAGTTTCATTTTTGTTGTATTAAAGTTTATTAATTTGTCTTTAAGGCCACCAAGGATAAATATTCCTCTTTCAATTCAACGTAATTCATCAGCCAAAGCTGCTGTTAATACATCTGAGGATGCTCTTATTATTAGCGACAGTTGTGTAAAACGTTTAAAAGAAATTTCGGAAAATGGAGCTTGTTTGAGAGTAACAGTCGAGGGTGGAGGTTGTTCTGGATTTCAATATAAATTTGATTTGGATTCGACTATTCAGGATGACGATAAGTAATTAGCAACATTTATTGCTGTATACAGAAATCCTACTGTGATTGAAAATTAAAAAAAAAAAACCTCTTTCAATCGTAGCAATTCTGTGATTGTTCTTTTTTCATAGTTGTTTTTAGAATATTGAAATATTGATAGATTTCAATTTACAGAATTTTCCTGAAAGATGGGGCAAAAATAGTGATAGATCCAACATCATTAGAATTTGTAAAAGGCGCAACTGTAGAATATCATAAAGAATTAATTCGTTCAGCCTTTAGAATAACGAATAATCCTTTAGCGGAACAAGGATGCAGCTGTGGCGTTAGTTTTGCAGTAAAATTAGATTAATTTCACGAATTTTTAGTCTTCTTTCTCTCTCTCTCTGCGTCCAGAAAAAGTGATTATTGAAAATATTTTTTAAATAAAAAAATCTATATTTTAAATATATGTATATATATAGAGAGAGTATTTTTGAAATAACAATATTGATATTTCAAATTTATTCTTCGTGAAATTCTATTTTATATAGAAACTTTTGTTTACTGTTATTTTGAAAAAATTGTAAAATGAATACAATTTTTTTTGTTATGGGGAAAAAAAAATGTTTTCGCAGACACGAAAGTATTTTAATTTTCATGATTTTGTAAATTGTAGTCTAAATAAGGAAATATTAATTAATTCATTTACTATTTTTCTTTGGATCCAAGTATAGACAAAACTGGTTTATTTTTTTCATTTGTTGAGAAAATGTGACTGGTTAATAATAATAAGTTACGTAAACATTTAGAGATTTATTTATTATTTTATAAATAAAAACATCGAATTCAAAAGATAACTACAAGTGTAAAGATCGGCAGAATCGAATTCATTGCTAGTCATCTGTTTAGTAATTTTTTTTTTTTTTAAATATGTACATAAAAGTTGGTTAGCATTTTCTTTTCTTTTATCACGGAATGTGTCAGATTGCCGATTAAATCGACACTTGTGTTTAATGTTAGTCTTTTATTTTCCCCTTTTAGTGTTCTGAAAAATAAAAAATGAAATATATTAATATATATATGTGGTTTTAATTTTTAATTTAGAATATTTTAGATTTTCCTCTTGTTCATACTTTGTTCGAGAGCTCAAATTTGAGTTGTTGAATCTCTTCGGTTTGTTGAATTAATTTTTCATTCATATTGGCAAGATGTTCACTCATAGTACTTAATTGAAATTTATAATTTCCTTCTTGAACCTCTTTATCCTCTTGCAATCTATTCCAATTTGAGAGTGCCTCCTTTAATTCTGTTTCACATTTTTCCCTTTTTGCCTCGCTTGTATCTAAATGAACGTTCATCACTTCGTTCTGGAAAAAATAATAATTTTGAATTTTAAAAAGTTCATTCAATTATAATTACGTTTTTAGTAAATTGAAAATAAATTTCTATTATGATTTTTTTTAAAGTATGTAATTAATTTTCACTTACGTTAGTAGCGATTGCTAGATTTTTCACGTGGCAAAGATGTTTTTCCGTAACAAGTTTATCTATTTCTCTTAAAAAGTATTCTCTAATTTTTGCTTCCCTCGCCTCAATTTCTTCCGGAACAGCAAATGGTGTTGTTAATCTCCCAATCTGAAATTGAAAAAAATATTTTTAAAATCCAAAATAAATTGAATGAATTATTAGAAATTAGTTTAATATATAATTAAATAAAAATTACCATATTATTAATCTCAATAGGCTGTAAAGAATCATTATCAGCCATATGTGTTTCAATATGATCCTTCTCAATAATTTCATCGTATTTTAATTTTAGAATATTATATTGCGCTTTCCAATGATTTAATTCCTTTTCAAGTTCCAATGGTTTTGTAAAATCATAATCATCGCTACTTTCTTCTTGTGTTGGTGGCCAAAGTTTTCTTGGTCCCATTTCTAATGTTGATTTTGATGAACGTCTTGATGCTGAAGGCGATGATAATGGTGAATGATCATTATTATTGTTATTATTATTATTTTGACGATGATTTGTTATTCCTATTCTTAAATCATAATCACATCCTTCACGTTTACCCTCGCCACTTGACCACGAAACAGTTTCTTCTTGTCTTTGTTTTTCACTTAATTTTCTTTGTAAATCATCACGTTCACGTTCAAATTTATCAATAATTTCACGATAATGTATTTCTAATGCTAATTTCGATTTTTCACATTGTGTTAATTTATTTTCAAAAAATTTAATCTCCTCTCTTAATGCATCTATTTCATTATCTTTATCGGCAATTTGCGATAATAATTGAGCATTTTCGATAATTTTCTTTTGAAATTCCTCATCAAGAATATGATGATTTTGTGAATTTGGTGCTTGAGTCTTATTCTCTGAGGATTTACTTCGATTTTTTTTAGGCTTACATTGTGTTTTATCTAATTCCTCTTGGAGTACAGTAATTCGTTTAGTGAGTTGTTGATTGCGAAATGAAAGACTGTCTAATTCTTGTTCAGCACGACGAAGTTCAACTTCTTTTTCTTTTAATTGTTCACGTATATCTGCATTTCGTGTTTGTTCTTCAATAACAGCTGTTTTTAAAATTTTTGCTTGTGCACGAATCTATATTGTGATAATGAAAAATAAATATGTTAGGAATTTTTCTGATAAAATAAAGATTACAATATAGTTTTTTTAAGACTAAAAATAGTATTTTAATAAAAATAAATGTTGGTTCATTATAAAGAACTAAGAGGTTAGGTTTGATATTTTTTTCGGGTGTTAATTTTTTTTTTTTTTTTTGACGTCAATTAAAGAATTAGAGTATTAATGCAAAAGTAGGTAACAAAATGAGAAATATATTAATTGGAAGTAATTGTTAAATGTTTAATGTATAAATAATAGATGTATTTTGATACTAGCCTTGGAATATTCTGTAGCAATTTTCTGGTACTTGGTCTCGAGTTCTCCATTGACAGCTTCCATGACTTTTCTTTTTATTTGATGTAAAACGACACTCGTAACTTTTTTTTTTTTTATTAACGATAATTGGACATTGTTGATATATTTAGTTGGATGCACAGTGTAGTTGAGGGGTATACACTAAAAATCCTTGAATAATTATATATATACTTTAGAACAATATCCTGAATATTAGCAGGGAATAATAATAATAATTGGTGACGTTTTGAATATTATTAATTTAAAAAAAATCATCACGAATCACTAGTGAAAAATTTGCCCGAGATAAATAAACATTGCACGCACATTATTTTATTTGTTTTAATACGCCCCCAGACATTAATTTTTACGTTTGTCAAATGCAGACACAGAACCATCTGTGCCTGGTGAACTGATCGCAAAATCAGTCTGTTGAATGCAGGTTTGTGACTGTATATATTGTGACTATGAATCGTCAAATATCAAGGCCGTCGTTTCATATACTCTTATGATAGAACTTTAATGTTATATGCATTAAAAAATGAAGGGATTCTTCATTGACAATTGTCAATGTACAATTTTCTGATAAATTGTTTTTCTTCTTTATCTATATCTGATTGAGAAATTTCTACCTTATCTGGATTTTTTTGTAATCCCTACCTTATCTGCATTTGCATTTTGGTTATGGAATTCCTACCTTATCTGCATTTTCAATTTTCTGCTTTATCTATGAAAAAGTTTCACTATTCACCACTAGATGTCAACACGTGTGTTGTTCCTATACATCATTTTTAATTAAAAAGGATATTAATTAAAAATTTCCATATATATATATAATAAAATATTAAAAAATTTAGATATTAAATATACATAATGAAAGTGTTAATTAAATCTTTTACTTACTAATATATTTAAGTATACTTTGAAGGAAGTAATTTTTATCTCTCTCTATATATATGTATCTAATTTTTTGATGAAATATTATCATGATGATGGAAATTTATTAAGTTTCTTTGACGCTTTCATAAGCTTTTAATCTTTGTGAATGCAATTATCAATATATATATGATGAAAGGAGATTAAAAATAATCTGCAAAAAAAAACCAACTTGTCTTTTACATCTAATTTTTTTTCACTCTCAAAGAGATGATAACAGGTGAACTTGTTTAAGATTCTATTCTATTCACTTTGAAGGTAAAGAAAAATGTCACAAATTTCACCTCCTGCCCTTTTGGTAAAATTCAAGATAAAGGAACTGGGTGCCAGCAGCTCATAGAAGGATCTCTCTCTCTCTCTCTCTTCTCTCTCTTTCCGCTTTTTTTTTAGTGAGTGACGTGTATTATAGCAACCCTTATTGGATTATAGTTTCTTTACCACGTATCACTTGTTGACACCCGCATTAACAACATCAGCATGTTGATCTTTTTAAGCCTCCTCACGTCAATGCATTTCTGGAAAATTTATTCTTCTTTTTCCTTTCTTAATCTATTTTTGATGATGAAAAATTAATGTTTGATTATTTAGAAAATATTCAATAGCATCAGATTTGGTCCGGTTTTTTTGTTTGAGAATTTTTGGGAAAATATAAGAAAATTACAATTTAAATGAATTTTAAATTAGCTGAATTATAATGCAATATAATTTTAAGGGATTCGAATTTTTAAATTTCAAATTAAAAGTTATTTTTTTCTAATAAAAGTTAAAAAAATGTTAATAATTAATAATAATTTTAATAACTTTATTGAAGCAGTTTTTAAAAATATTTATTTAAAAATACTTTTAAAAAAGTGCTTCAATAAAGGGGTTATTAAAAATTAAACATTGGATTATATCTTTTAGTTTAATTTTAGGAAAATGAATACAGCTTTAGTAAAACTGATTAAGTATTTTTCGGTGTAATATTTAATTAAATTAAAAATTCCGTTTTGAATATTAAAATCATTTAATTAAAAAGATAAAAGTTTTTTTAAAATATATAATTTATCTCTTTTACTACCTATTATATTACATATATATTAAATTATTTCTTCCCTTATAAATTTAATTTTTCGTTTCCAAATGTCGATAATTTCATTTTCAATACATGTAACATCGAATATAAAAATATTGTGAATTTGAGAAATATATTCTTTAAAAATTCTATTGCATTGAATAATATATAAATGGAATAGTTGCGTCGTTTTAAAATTTGTGAATTAATTAATGTTAATTTTATATGAAGGTAAATTATTATACAATAGTTTTTTGTCTACATTAAAATATTTTCAATAAATCGTGATAAAACTGTTTGAAAAATATTTAAAATTTATTTAAATTGTAATTTAAAAAAGTTTTTAATAGAAAATTTAAGTTTCTTATATTTCTGTGTTTTTTTTTTAAGAAATAGGAATGAAAATTCAAAGGGGTTAAAAAAGAGAAAGTATATAGTAAAAAGTGAGATAGTAGTTGTTGGCTATTACTGTTATAAACATATATATAGAACTATATAGGAAGAAAAGCCCGTGTGAGAAGGATTTATTGCCATCGATGCGCGAACCTGCTTCGGTAATTTGTTATTGTGGGTAGACTCTGCAGTATATAATATTCGCAAACACGACTGAAATACCGCACTATCAAAATGTTTGAAAAACGTGACAGTGCCGCGAAATCGATTTATGAGAAACCAAAGAAAGAAAGGCTGTGAAATGCTATTGGAATTTCCATTTAACACTTGAACGAACGCTGTGCAACGAGCAAATAGATTTTTATGCCTCTTCTCATCTACTTTCTTATGCGTTTTACGAATAAGGAAATTATTGTTTGCAATTTTGTTTTTTTTTTTAAATCTATTTCTGGAAACGTGTTTATATTTTTATAGTTATCGTAAATAATATAACTCTATTTTCGTGAAGATAAAATTTTTTAATTTTGAAAAAAGCTGATAAATTTAGGGAAAAAATTTCTACTTGATTTCTTCAATTTTTTATCTATTGAAATTTAGTTTAATTATGTAATTCCACTTTCACTTTCACTAATTCTATTTTCATTTTCATTTCTACTTCCAATGATTAGGAATTAGTGAAAATTTGAATATAAAGTTATAATGAAAGTGAGAGTGAAAATTATAATTAGTGAAAGTGAGAGTAAAAGTGAAATTACACAATCGATCCGTTGGTGTATTTCCGTTAGTAGATTATTTGAAATTATGATTTTATTTACGTTATTAAAAAAAAAAAATCAAAATATTGCTAAAAATGAAATGAATATTAAAGTAAATAAAAAACATTTCACAAAATAAATATATTTCATACTGTCTGTGTGAACGGAAGTCCCGGTCCGATATTTTTTTCTTTTTTTTGAATTGATATTCCAGAAACGAATCAGCCTTGTTAAATTAAAATTATATGAAAAGTTTAGAATTTTTTTTGAATAATACTACTCATATATATAGGATTCAATTCAATTTCAGTAAATTCAATAAATTTTTATTAAATATCGCTCCACATGCACATAGTCGTTTGTAATCGAAATAAATGCGGGAAAAAATGAATCTGAAAAACGATGAAACACGTTCATTTTATTAAGCAATGAACGCTGCTGCGCAGTTTTGAATAGTAATGTGAAAATGTTGTTTTAGGATATTTTCTTCTTTTCTTTCTTTGTTTTCTACGTTTCCATTGTTGAAGAGAATTTTCTCGAAACCAAATGGATTACTCTTATCAATATATATTATAGAATAGTAGCGTCCATTTAAACGCACATTTTGTGAAATGACTTGAAAAATATTAGTTTTAGAAAAAGAGATGTTATGATATCGTTTCAATTCTTCGATCGAGAAATGATTACAGGAAATTTTCATTGTCACTTTGCTACCGGAAAATGAGTATTTTCCCAAGGAGGGAATATTCCTTTTATCTTGAAAAATTAATATTCAAACTCCGTCTCAATAAAAGTTTTCTCGATTTTTATATCCCTATGCTATATATATATATAGATATATGTATATGTATATTGAAGATTTGTAGAATTACTTGAAATCCACTCTTGACTAGTACTTTTCTCAAGGAATGAATTATTTAATATCTTCTTTTCTTTTTTTTTTAGAAAAAAGAAAAAAAATATAAATTTCTTTCATCTTCGTTATTTTCCGTGGAAAATTTCTCACGAAAACGGATTTTTCGTAATAAATCAAAAACCCGTCAGAGAATAAAATGAATAATATTTTTGAACAAATGCTAGTGGAATCTAAATCTAAATGTATAATCCGAATAAACCATTTTTCATATTCCGAAGTGAACAAAGTGTATCAAGTAAAATCGTTTGAAAGTGTAGCCCTCATTTATTTTCAACAAGATGTTCGCGAGTCGTAAATCTTGAGAGGGAAAATTGATTTCGAGAGACGTGTGTACAATGCTCTCGCACACACCAGATTCGAACAATTCACCACCTGATGGTCGGTGTCCAATCGAATAGAAATCGATATTGGCTGATATCTTTTTAATCATTTTTTCAAAGTTTCATTATTATATGAGTAGAAAAAAATTTCTTTCCATACGATTCTTTTATTTTTTTTCTCACCATATGCATTGTGTCGCCCGCGTTTACCATTCGTTAAATCACTCGTTTTCATTTACTCGCGAAGCAACCAGTGCAAAAGTTGTTCTATAGCTACTTAATGCCGTCTGCGTCCAAGATGGAAATTCGCTAAGAAAGAAGTTCAACGAGCGTAACTAATACGAGCTGGGGATTTCTAGAAGCAAAAGCATAAGAAAAGGACAAAATATAGGGATTGAATAACTGAGAAGCGAAAAGAGTAAATGAGACAGAGGAGAAGGGGGATTTTGAAACCATCTTTGCTTGGCTGAATTTGTGGGTGGAAAAGCGTATTCAAGAAGACAAACGCGACCTTATCCGCGGACAAATACATCGTATCACTCTTTTCATTCGAAAAAAAGAGAAAGAAAGAGAGAGAGAGAGAGAGATAGGGGAATAAAAAGAACGAAACCGAGAAAAAGCAGGAGATAAAAGATGGAAATCACGTTTGGACTAACATCTTGTTTCGATTCTATTCTTCACTCAACATCGATTACGTTTTAACGTACACTCTAGAAGAGATTTTCATTCTTTAAGTAGGGTTTTCGCAGCTCTTGTCATTCTGTTCTTCTTAAGGTGCGGTAAAAGATTGTATTTTTAAACAATGGTAATTTTTGTTCTATAGAATTTCATAAACAAGAAAATCTCAAGATTTTTTTACCGAAAATAATATGCTACAAAATTTAGATTCTGTAACTTGACTTCACTTTAACTCTATATTCACTTCACTTTCACTTCACTTTTACTCGATTTTTACTTTATTCACTACAAAGTGATGAAGTGAAAGGACTTTAGTAGTGGAGTGAAAGTGAAGTTAAAGTTTTTATATTATAAAATAAATTCGAAAATAAAAAAAAATCGTTTCATTACATAAGATGTTTGTATATTTAAACGTAAAGGTCAGGTCAATAATAATTTAAGGGAGTTTCGTTATCATTC